TCTGATGCCCTTCCAGCTGCAACCCAGTTCTGGGAAACATCCATACACACTCATTCACACACATACACGACAGCCAACTTAGTTTATTCACTTCACCTACCATATCTTTGGACTTTGGGGGTAACTAGAGCACAGGAACACCACATAGAAATGCCTACTGACCCAGCCAGGACTCAAAGCAGTGACCTTCTTGAGCCACCGTGTCACTGTTCTGTAGTCAATATGATCTAATTTTGTGTATAAAAAAATGTTAACGTCTGTAAATGTCATCCTATAATTACAGTGCTGTGTAGTAAATGATTAAAGGGATAGTTCAACCAAAAATGAAGTGAATCAAGTGGTTCTAAACTAATTATACATTCTTTTCTTGTGTTAAATACAAAATAAGATATTCTTAAAAATATCATATGCAGCCGTTGACATCTATAGCAGGAACAAAAACGAATAAAGGATGAGCAAATGATGACAAAATTTTAATTTAGAGTGAACTACCCCTTTAAATGTAATATGGATCGTTCCAAAAGTTGGATATAATTACTTGGATTACATACCTTTTTTTTTTTTTTTTTGACATGGACATCACAGGCGACGCAGTGGCGCAGTAGGTAGTGCTGTCGCCTCACAGCAAGAAAAATGAATGACAACAAATGAATGGACATCACTATTACAATGGACAACCAAATGCATTTGTTTAAGTGTTTTAGCAGACTTGCTAATTCTCAACACCTGTCCACAGGAGGCTTGACAAAATAAAAACATTATAAATACATATAGACAATATGGCAACGCGGTGGCACAGTAGGTAGTGCTCTCGCCTCACAGCAAGAAGGTCGCTGGTTTGAGCCTCAGCTGGGTCAGTTGGCATTTCTGTGTGGAGTTTGCATGTTCGCGTGGATTTCCTTCGGGTGCTCCGGTTTCCCCCACAGTCCAAAGACATGCGTTACAGGTGAATTGGGTAAGCTAAAATTGTCCGTAGTGTATGAGTGTAAATGAGAGTGCATGGGTGTTTATTGGTGATGGGTAACAGCTGGGAGAACATCCCCTGCGTAAAACATATGCTGGATTAGTTGGCGGTTCATTCCGCTGTGGCGACCCCTGATTAATAAAGGGACTAAGCGGAAAAGAAAATGAATGAATGAATCAATGAATAAACAACATTATAATTCTTTCCATAAAAGTACTGAAGGCAAAAGCAAAGACGACATGATCAAACCAACTAATAGTAAACTATTTTGTGTAAACACTGCCTTTAACCAAACTTTTTAAGAACACTACTAAAAATATTACTATATATACTAATATTAAATATATTACTTTCTAATTTTAGGTTAACGTGTAAATCATTCCACAATTTGGTTCCCTTAACAGAGAAAGCAGATTGACCAAAGGAGGTCTTACACTTTGGTACAAGACAGTCACCATTAGCAGTTGCTCGTATGACTCTGTGAGAGGTTTGATGCCTACTGATTACATCTAAAAACAACATTTATAAATTTAAAAGTTCTCATATTTTATAACCTTTATTTTACCAGGTAAAGCACATTGAGATTAAAAATCTCTTTTACAAGAGTGTCCTGGCCAAGATTATTCAATTCAATTCAATTCACCTTTATATGTATAGCGCTTTTACAATGTATATTGTGTCAAAGCAGCTTCACATAAAAGATCATAGTAAATTGAAACAGTGTAGTTTAGTTTTCAAAGTTTAAGTTCAGTTCAGTTAAGCTCAGTTCAGTGTGGTTCAATAATCACTAATGAGAGTCCAAACACTGAAGAGCAAAATTAGGCAGTATACAGTTCACATGGGGTTTAAACAAAAAGCAAATAACAGACAACGTCATTCATCCATCAAAACACACATACAATGACAGTTAAAAACTATTCAGAACATCTACAGGCCAAGTTTCAAACTCCAAATCATTTAAAATCTTGTTTAAAGCATGTAGTGAAACCAACTCTTTAAACTGCAACTTTGTTTGGAGGTTTTTCCATGCAAAATGTGCTGCATATTTAAAAGCCTTTGTTCCAAAATAAAAGCAGACTATACAGTAACCTACATTATTACAAATTATTTACGCAATGGCAATAAATTATTCACAAAGTATTGATTCTCCCTTTTCTCTCCCACTCTCTTTTAAATTAACATTCCTAAAAATTCTGCTTTGTGACCTAATGTTTAGCTATTGAGTATTTACATTATGGCAAAATCTGATGGCAATGTAAATATGATTAAAACAACTTTTTTGAGATTGAAAGCTGTGATCCTTTAGCTGTACTAGGTTGCAGCTGGAAGCGCATCCACTACATAAAACATATGGTCGATAAGTTGGCGGTTCATTCCGCTGTGGCAACCCCAGATAAATAAGGGACTAAGCTGAAGGAAAATTAATGAATTTGTGATCAATACTTCTAAACTTGGGAACAAATTTAAAAGTGGCCTTTACTATTGATTTATTTTAAAACGGGTGAGGGGTTTTGTCCTTTTGTTTATGCTCTTTATGCAGAACTCTTTTTTAATTATTATTTCATGTTAACCCCATGGCTTCACTGTAAGCTTTAAAACATAATATTAGAGCTGTAAATGAGGCTTGAGCAATTGATATGAGAGAGAGAGAGAGAGAGAGAGAGAGAGAGAGAAATTCTGATTTATTTTTGTATTGATTTGTATGAATAATATGATATGTTGAATAATAATATAATATATTGAATATTAATGTGATTTATTGAATAATGTGATGTATTGTTAAAATTGTATTTAAATATTATATATAAATATCACCTTTTTACTACTATTTACTGTGTGTATTGTTTTTTATTATTAGATATATGTTACTTTTCATGTAAACTTTATAACTGCTTTGGCAATACATTTGTAACATTTGTCATTAAAATAAAGCAATTATTGAACTGAACTGAATTGAATTGAGAGAGAGAGAGAGAGAGAGAGAGAGAGAGAGAGAGAGAGAGAGAAAGAGAGAGAGAGAGTTAAAGTGTTTGAATTACTTCAGTTTGTGCATCTCTCTAAAGCAGAGATGCCCAAACTAAGGGCCTGCGGGTCATAGTTGGCCCATTGTAAACTTTGATTTGGCCTGCCATCCCATCTGAGAAGTTTGGGAGAATTTTGGGGAGGGTTGGGGTTAATGGTTTTAATACACATAGTCATTTCTTATAAGGTAACTTGTTCATTTTATTTTTAAGCTACAAAAAAACAAACTTAAATTAAATGTTGTAAATGAAGGCAGGTGCTGCTTAACTTGTGCATTTGACATTAAACTCTATGTTATAAACTGAATTCTTATGTTTTCATTTAATAGGTTCAATATAAAATGTAAAGGAAAATATATAATGGATTCATCAATATGCTTAAAGTAATGTTTTCTATTTATTTTTAAATAAATGAGGAAATTATTCACGGAAACTTAGTAATACAGCTTGATAAATATATCAAGCATAAATATATCAAGCTGTATTACTAAGTTTCCGTGAATAATTTCCTTTACTTTCGGCCCACGACCCTCAATCAAGTTTGTTTTTTGGCCCTTCATAAAAAAAGTGTTTAGTAACATGTCTCTACTAATAGTAAAAGTGCAAGATTCAAACAGCACTGTTACTAAAATGTTATTCAGAAATGTCATGTATCTTTTCTGTTGTTATGCTGTTTTAATGCTAAATTCATGGATGGCACTGACATAATATTCCTGTAAAATTACACTTGCTTGAGTGTGTCTCTACATGTGTACATTTGTTTTAGAGAGAGAGCAAGAGAAAGAGAGTATGTGCTTTCCATAAATAATAAAACGATTTCATGAGGGAAAACAAGGAAATATTTTGTCATTTTTATCCTACTGTTTAAATCATTCATTGCTCAGGGTCTTTGTGGGTTTTGGCCCTTTTGTTGTTGGCTGTAAGAATATAAGTAAAAATCACTGCTCTTTAAGTGATATGGAATATGATCAAGATTTGCTTTGTACTTCCTTCCTGAAAAGAACTGCACAAGTGCACATCAAGTTAAAATGTTCATCAATCAATCAAAATCAAGCACTGAAACATTATTCTACTTAATATAACTGATAAAGCAGCTTAATTTTTTGTTAAAAGCATATATTTTTATTTCAAACCTTTAAATTAGCTATTATAACAGTAAACTATTTGTAACAAATTTGTTCTACCCCATATACTGAACATGGATTTATACATTATATATTGCATTATATCAATATTAAATACCATGCATGTCTACAATGTCTTATTTCAAATGGTTCTTGTTTTAAAACTCCAATTAGCACTGCAAGCTTTATTTTTAAAAGTGTTCAAAGAATAAATTATGTCTTAGTTAATGATTAAAACAGGGGTATAGGCTAATAAAGTCTATATGCAAGTCTATACATTTTTTTGATGCAAAATAAGGTTTGTGTATTAAAGACATATGTGTGCAGCAGTGTTTTTGTACAAAACAGAAGATAACACTTTAGTTTAATCTTCAAAATTACCAAGTGGATTATTACCTGCTTATTATTAAGATAATGGCTGTTTCTGTCTACTTATAAAGTACATATTGTGCATTCTACGTCCCTAAACCTAGCTATTAACTTAATAACTATTAATGTGCACCAAGGAGTTTATTGAGCTAAATTGAGTTAATGGTTTGTTAACAGCGAGAATTGTACCTTAAAATAAAGTGTGACCAAACAGAAGTATAGAGAAATACATTATATTTCTAAAATGTATCATTCTAAAACTCTAATTTATGCATTGTTTGATTGTTTACTTTTTGTCTCAATCTCAGCGAACCATTTTATCCATAGCTGAGATTGTATCTGTCTTGTACACAAAGCCGTAACCGTGTCTATAAACATGATAAATTAATACACTGCTTGCTAAGATGACTTTAAGCGCCTCACACACACACACACACACAAACACACACGCACACACAGGAAGTAAACACAAGTGTACAGTCCCCCTGGAAACGGGTGTAAACAGGGCGCATCGCTGCTCACCTGTAGGGGTCTCGGGCTGAATGGGCGTCCATGTTACCCGCGTTGTCGTAAGAACTACGTCGTGGCTCTTTTTTTCAATTTGGAAGATTCCTCGTACAATCGGTTCGTCCGGTCTGTATTTAGTTTCTACTCGCTCCTTGTAGTCTTCTTCGGGGCATAACTGAGGGGCCGAAACGGAGCGCTTCTGACTTTGCTTCTGTTTTCTCTTTTTCTTTTTTGTCTTTACTCGCTTCTCCGTCCCGTGAGGAGACACCGGTTGCGTCTCGCGCAACTCTTCCTGACTCTCCGACCACGCGTTGAGGACACTTATCGATTTACACGGGGATTCAAGCATAGTGTGTATGTTTTGAGGGCAAACTCGCCTGTGTGTATTAATTTACCGCTCCCGGTCGCTAGGCTCTTGAGGAAGTTCCTCGCGTCTCCATGCACCTCTACAGCGCGCGCGCCCGCCGAGCTTTCTCAGCCGAGCACGCGCGCAGCCCTCACTGCCTGTTATTAGGCTACTATTGAAGCAATTTAACAAATGTGTATATACGTGAAATGCTATATTAATTTCTAATCATCCGTTTTATATACTTGTAGGCCTGTAATAAATCGTTTGATTTATTATCAATAGGTAGTCTACTACTGACAATTAAAAATATATATAGGCCTATATTTTCAGCAAACCTTTCTAAAGGCTTGTAAAAATGGATAATAGGTAGCAGTTCTACAAATAGGGACAGAATCCATAAGCCTATAGAAAATAGGCTTATAATCCGGGCATGGCAAAAAAAAAGTCACTATAGACCATATCAGTGTAGTGCTGCATTGGCCCATGGACATTTCCTGCTTGTTGTCAAACTATTTAAGTTGTTACACAACTGTAACAAACGTCAATTTAATCATAACTTAATGTTTAAACCACTATCATAACATTGGGATTCTCTGAAGCTATGATAATTAAAAATGTAAAACAGGAAATACGTTAGGACCATTGTTATGTGTTGTTTACATCCCTCAAAATGGTCTATTGGATTGCTTATTAATACTATTAGTTTTAAAAGTAAATAGGTACATATAGTTAGATATATACTAATTTTAGAAAATATATAACGCATGACCAAACATGTTTAACTAGAGTTTACTATGTTGTTAAATGCATTTATACAATATGCATGTCATATTTTAACGAATGATAATGGTCTGCTAAGCATTCAGCCATATTAGCCTACTATGTCATGAGGTGTGTAAATTCCCTTAAACAGCACCTTGGACAGTTCCTGGATGTGGAAAAAAACTTTTGAAACTACTAACCGTTACTAAATCCCTATTGATTTCCCCTTTTATGGCAGATTGTTTTTTTTTATTGTTTTGTTTATAAATACATCAGTTTCAGTGTTGAAGTCGTATGAATTCGTAATCGTTTTACTCCAACTATCCTCCAAAAATCGCTCAGCCATCGCATTTACCTTATTTACGGGAGTTTACAAGATGAATTCATTTTATATTATTAATATCATACTTTTTTATCTGTAAAAACTGTAATCCCTAGCATAGAACTTGAGCACGTAATGAATTGTTTCTGTGCACACAAAGCTGTGCTTGTCCAAAATATGCGGGAATTTCAATGACTCTTTTTACACCTCTAGCTTCTTATCTTCATTGTAATCTCTATTTTGCGTGTGTGACAACATGGACGTAATTTAATAAATGACAAAGGCTTTTCTGCTCCTCAAATAAACACAAATTCTAGTACATTTAAGAAGATTTTGTTTGCACGGATGGCTCGAACAGATTATAGACAACTCCGGGACAAATTGATTTAGCTACACGGAAACACTGTATTGTGTTCTTATAATAATTTCTGGAGGCGATACAGAATTAAAGATTTCAAATGTATTTTATAGATGAATTTTAGACCGACTAAAAGGTATGGTGACACGATGATTTTCCGCAATTCTGAATGTCATTGGCGTTATAATGATATCCTATTCTGAGGTGACCTTCTGTTTTTAAATATAGGCTACCTATAAACAATATAGCCATGTTTTATATTATGACTACTCAGCACCTGCCTTGATTTAATATTTATTTTAGCTTCAGGCAATCTATTCAGGTGAGAAGCACCATTACTGCACACTGGAGAACCAAATTGATAAAGCAACTTAAGGTTAAAAAACACCTGATAGTGAATATCCTGCAGGACAGAGTACGATGTGCTTTTATTAATATTCAGAAGTAGAAATTTACATCACCTTGAGAAGTCATATTAAGTAATAAAAAGTAATATAATTAGTTTTAAAATAGTGTCGGGCGTTTACGTTATATAATAGTTTCAAAATACAGTGTCGGGTGTTTAAGTTATATCATCACACAAAAATTCTATAGGCTAAATTTTCGACTTCCTTTATTTGTTTTGTATTTAAATAAATAGGAAATCGTAAGGTATACAGGTAAATACATTCTATGTGTGGCGTAATTCACGCACCACCATGAAGAGTTTTACAGAAACGACTATAAAGATGTTAAATTCAAAACCATTTGTTTTATTTCGTAAATCTCCATCATGAACTGATACACACATACAACAGTCTCAAAACTAGAATGACTTTTAAATCAACCTCTTTTTGGTTGCATCTTCATCATTTGTTCCTTCACAACACAAATTCCAGTCGAAAATACCCGAATAGTTTGAGCAGACTAATTCAGTTCATTATTTATTCTCCATCTTAGAAAGACAGGCCTCTCGATCAGCTTTTTTTTAACACAGGGTGAATTAAAAAGGTGATAGTCAAGCTTTTTTTATTTACAACACTGAGACTTCTAACACCGATTTGTTTTATTTTCTTTTCCTCTTCCCCAGCATTCAAGCAATTCGAATTTCCACAAAGGATCACTGATTGAACATAACATTAGACGGGATTCAGAGGACGGGAATTGTGCAACTCTGCATGATTTTACAGTAATTCATTGCTAAGGCAACATTACAGATTTTTTAGCACTTGCCTGCTGGTTATTACTAGATTGAGTACTGTTTCGTATATAAACGAGAGATAAATCAGTTTTATAAAACATTAACATGGAGGGGTAGCATGGAATGACGCAGGGATCTGACTTTATAAAAATTAACAATTCTATACAAAATCACAACAAAATAATTCAGTATGGGATCGATAAGTAGTAAAATGTAATAGGTTGAAAAATATATCAATCTCTATTAATTTCTATAATTGGCCCAGTATTGGATTAAAAATTGCATAGTTTCCAAATTATTGCTTGTGAGATTTTGTAGCATGGATAATTAACACATTCTGAACAAGGTCACGCCTATTCCCACCTGTGTTTGTGTGTGTGTGTGTCTGTGTGTGTGACCGCAACGTAGAAGCGCTATAGAATACAATACATAAGGTGAACGAGAATCAACCAATTCTCTTTTCTCCTAAAGGCAGTAACAACAATAAATACGTACATAAGATTAAGCATATAATGTTGTTGCTCTTTTTGCATCAGCCATAACAGAATACCGTGTCGAGCAGTCTGATAAAAGTCCATTAGGATCACGAGTCGTGAAATATCGCGTTCAACTGGGCGTTCATGACCCGTTCGTGATGCGAGTGCCCGTCGTACGACATAATGTTCTCCATCGGTATATCACAGCGCTGCGTCGAGCCCGCGTAAAGAGACGCGGCGTGTCCCTGCGCGCCGGCCAGACCCGCTGCCTGATAGTGCATGGTAAACGCGTAGTTCTTCTCGAATTCCGAAGAAGGCTCGTGTTTGAACGAAAAGTTCCCGTTGACGCTTAAAGGCGGGCTAAGGGGTCCGTCAAATGAGGGACTGGTGCAGTCTGTGAGGGTGGTGTCAAAGAACGGCTCCAGTGCGCTCCCGTACGCGTGCGGCTTGACGTGAAAGATGTGAGAGCTGTCCATTGTACCGTACGGAGGGCTGGGAAGACCGGGCGTCTGGTAGGAGTAGGGAAGAGCGGAAAAGGAAGCACTTGCTGTTTGCATATGAGGGGGCATCTCCTGGCTCTGCTCGGGCAGAAAAGTTCTGGGGTTCAGTTGGAGGCATCCTGCGACCAAGTTGGTCGTGGGTTGGGACAAGCCCTTGCACAAGGCCTGCACAAAAGACATCAGGTCGGGGCTTTTGCCCGACCTCAAGATTTCCGAAAGAGCCCAAATGTAGTTCTTGGCTAGTCGGAGCGTCTCGATCTTGGAGAGCTTCTGCGTTTTGGAGTAGCACGGAACAACTTTGCGCAGGCTCTCAAGCGCGTCGTTGAGGCCGTGCATGCGGTTCCTCTCCCGGGCGTTCGCCTTCATGCGCCGCATCTTGAATCTCTGCATACGCGCCTTGGTCATCTTCTTCTTCTTGGGACCCCGTCTTTTCGGCTTGGTGTCGTCGCCGTCTTCTTCCTCCTCTTCTTCTTCCTCGTCGTCCTCATCCTCGAGTCGGTTGAGACCGGCATCATCGTCGTCTTCCATATCGTTGAGCATGGGCTCGCTGGTCTTGTCCACGTCTCGTTCGTCTTGGGAGCTGCTGTGACACTTGTCGGTCCAGTTCGAGCTGCTCTGAGACTCCAGCATCATGCTTTCCTCGCTGTATGACTTCGTCATGTCGGAACTCTGCAAAGCGATAAAGCAGACCTTTACACATTCATTCAGTGACAGTTTTTTTTTTAATATGAGAGACAGTGATGAAATGCACTAGAGCGCACCTCCGAAATGCAACAACACATGACCTGTGGATGAATCATAGCTGCTTACTTTATGCAGCTTTATTATGTAACATCATCAGCCTTCCCTAATCTGATAGACCTCTCGTTTTATTTTGAAATAATGAAGGATTTTAAATGTAGCCCATGTCTGAATAGTTCATACTGTGTAAGACATAAAGTAATATACATATAGGACAGCCTTAAAAAGAAATTTTTTTTGCTCAACGATGAACATTTTTATTCATTTAGGAGAATAAATTGCTCTGTACATTAGTCTGTGATATTGTGATAAGTACGTTCTCACAAGTTCATTGGATTTGCTAACTGGAAAAGCTACATAAGCGTAAAATAAAACAAGTTTAAATTAACTTATTCGACTATTTGGCTACTTGATATATTAAATATATTATACATGAAACAGTATTAGGCTATTTCAGATAAACATTTAAACAATTTTCTCTGAAGTAGGTCTATATTTGATCAAACCTTATTTCTTTATGTATAATTGCAATGAGAAACAAAATCACCTTTCCTTATATTTCACATATCCTTCTTTCAGTTAAGTGGCTGAAATGTGCAATTGGTTGACACTACATTTTAAGCTAACAGTTATTTGAATTTGATCTTTGATTTAACATTTATCTTAAATCCTCTATCATGATGCATTAGCTTACTAAATTTAAACACATTTACAATACCTTAAACTGAGTTTAAAGCTATCATCATACTC